ACAGTGACACATCACTCTACAACTATCAGAATTACTGAAATAAAAAATAGTTTTAACACAAATGCTGGCAAGGATTTGGAGAAATTTTAACACTGCTGGAGGAAATGGAAAATGGTACAGCCACTCTAGGAAAAGGTTTGGCAGTTTCTTATAAAACTAAACATGTAGAGGGCACCTGGGTGGCTCAGTCAGTAAGTGTCCAACTCTTGATTTTGGCTCAGGTCATGATCTCAGGGTCATGAGATTGAGCTCTGTGTCGGGCTCAGTGGGGAGTCTACTTGGGATTCTCTCTTTCTCCCTCTCCCTCTGCTTTACTCCCCACTCATGTGTACATGCCCTCTCTCTCTTTCTAAAATAAATAAATCTTTTTTTAAAAATCCCAAAACTGAACAGTTACTATATGACCCAGCAGTTGTGATCTTGTGCATTTATTCCATAAAGATGAGAATTTATGTCTACATAAAAATCTATACACGGATGTTCATAGCAGCTTCATTCATGATAATCAAAAACTGGGGGACAGCCCAGATATCCTTCGACAGGTGCAAGGTTAAACCAACTGTTGTACGTCCATATGGTAATACTATTTAGCAATAAAAGAATCACTGGTACGGGCAACAATTGAGGGAAATCACCAAGGAATTACGTTGAGTGGCAAAACCCAGTTCCAAACAGTTACATACCATATGATTCCATTTGTGGGATATGTTTGAAATGACAAAATTTTAGAAATGGAGAACAGATTAGTAATTATCAGGGATTGGAATGGGAGAAGGGAGATGCCTGCGGTTATAAGGAGGTAACCTGAGGGATCCTTGCAATGGAACTGTTTAAAATCTTGACTGTGGTGTCAGATGTAGTAACATATATGTGATCAAACCATAGAACTAAATATACACACAGACACAAATGAGAACAGCAAAGCTGGGCAGTCTGAACAGGATCAGTGGATTGGATCAATTGTCAGTATCCTGGTTGTGAAACTACAGTATAATTTTATAAAGTGCTACTGTTAGAGGAAACTGAGTGCATGGGATCTCTGTATTATTTCCTATAACTCCATGTGGCTACAATGATCTCAAAACTTCAATTAAAAAATAAATACAGTTATGAATTATTTGGGAGGAATAGAGAAAAACTGTCGATATAGGGCTGAAAACAGAAGTCCTGGTAGACCTTGTCCTCTCCTGATCAAATAAATGTTCTGCATCTTCTCTAGCTGAGTAATTCTTAGAATTTTTTTTAAAAGATAAATGAAAGATTTTCATCTGTAAAATGAATTAAGAACTATTAAAGCTTGGGAGGGAGTGCCTGGGTGGCTCAGTCGTTGGGCATCGGCCTTCGGCTCAGGTCATG